TTTGATTATAAAACCAAACATATGCTTGTGTACTTTAACTAACACTATCAGTTGAAGTACAGGTCATAAAATGTGCTGATGCAAGCAAATAATTGCCAACAAAAAGAACTATTGGTGAGGTCGGAAAGACTTTGAGATTGGCAGATAAAGACTTACATTCCTAACTGCTGTGTTGGCCTTTCACAATTGAGAAAAAAAAAAGTTGAGAGTTTGCTAACACTTGTTGGAGCTGATATTATGAACTGCTGGATACATTTGTTTTATAGTAACACAGAAGCATAACAACAACGCAAATATTCTTGCACATAAATATATTTTAATCAAAATATGAAAGAAAAATCTACATTTTGCATATTGCAGAGCTCAAATATAACAAAATACATTTTGAGCCATGTCACTATTTTTAATATTTGTAATATAGATGTATGTTATTATTATCTTGATTCATGAAGAAATCAATATTTTCAGATAATAAGTTTCATTACAAAGGGAACATAAGTGGGTTCTATCTAACTAATGCTTTCCAGTATTGCTGCTGTATATACAATGTATTAAGAGTTAACAATGCTTTGTGCTTTTCCGAGCAATGGATTGCTAAACAGTGTAAAAGTTTGTTGGTTTTGATCTATATATCTGTTTCTATTATCATTCAAAGAAGATAATTTCAGTATTTATGTTTGTGTGTTTTCATCTAAATATAATTACAATTACAAAATAAAAAAAAGCATTGTCTGACATGTTCTGTGTTACATATCCCAGAGGTGCTTAAACAGTCCACCAGCTAGTGACACAATAAAGTAGAGCCTAACTGGTTTGTCAATAAATTAATCGCACCCATTAGATAATTTAAAAGTTTGTCGATGCATCATTCTTGGTAAATGGCCTGCATTTGTATAGCGCTTTTCTAGTCCCTAAGGACCCCAAAGCGCTTCACACTACATTCAGTCATTCACCCATTCACACACACATTCACACACTGGCGATGGCAAGCTACATAACTTATTATCTTATATAACTACAATCCAATCTAGCTGGTGAAGTGGATTTAAGCCAGACAAAGCTAGAAAACTACACACAAATATTAACAGAGAATTAGTGTGTTTGAGGGGGTTATCATATGGAATAAACATCATAAAAAGATGTTATAAAACACGAAATAGTGCTGGGAAATATCGTTTTTTTTTCCTCACACCTGATGATGATGATGCAACATGAATCCTTTTGTATTGGGACACACTGATCAACAAGTCCGAGAACTCAAACACAATAAGCACGAATACCACAGGTTCAGCTATTATACTTTTTACACCCACATCAAAACAGACAATATAACGGTGATGCAACATCAACCCTCCCCAGGCTCATCGATACTGCTTCTGTTGTCAGGAAGCAGAGGGGGTGTTTACAAGTTGGTTATCTGTGTCATCAGTGGGCCTTTTCCTTGACAACAAAACAAAAAACTAGAACAATGAGCATTCATGCTAAAGAGTTAAAAATCAGTGGAAGACAATAAAAGGTATGTTTGTTATGCAAACGTCACTAGTCAAGAAGATTTTCAGGAACAAGGTGAATTACTATAACTAAAGGCAAACTTCCCTTTAACACTGAAATGTAACACAGCCCTTGTATATTTACTACTCCATGAACTCTAAGCGTGAATTACTGGTGTGTAGTTTTGGGTTGCAGCAGCTATAGTGTCATCTGTAGTGTCTTGTTACAGACATGAAAAGAAATCACACACGTTTGAATGCTTTGAATGGGGGAAAAAATGAGAATATAAAAGATGACAATAGCTGTGGCACCACTACCAGAACTAAATTTGTATTTATTTGTTAATAAAGTTTTGTTTTTTTTTAACTTATAACATCCTTGTGATTGTTCTTCACTAAATCATAGAAACGTGTAAAAAAATATATATATATATATTTAAACAAAAGCTAAAGAGGCAAAGTGTATGAAAAATGTACGTTGTGCCACTGCCAAAACTCTGGGCCATAACTGTAGCTCATATGCCATGTTTAAATGGGACATTGTGTATGTCTGAAGCAACAATAAAGAATATAACATAGTCTTTATTGTTATATAACATATGTGAGCCAAAAAATGGTCTCACTGTGGGGTTGAGAAGCTAGAGAAAGGGCTTACCTGTTCATGAAAGGGCTTTAATATTATGTTATATACAGTTGAGTATACAGCAGTAATTTTAGCAATTCAATATAAGCTGCCAGAAGAGCTCCAAAACTCTTCTGGCATTAACATCAGTACAAACACGGCACTCCGGAAGCTTCATGGCGTGGATTTCTGTGGCCAAGCAGCTGCAGATGCAACGTGAAAGTGGCACAGTACTTTAGTTCATACAGCGCTTTTTTAGGTAGGGTTTTTCAAATGTTTTGGCCATTTCAGTGTTTTGGCTCTTCGATAAATCAACACTGACTACATAATGTCAACATCAGACCTTTTTGTAATTCTTCTCCAACAAAATAATCTGATTAGATGCCTTATGTTAGTGTGCCGTAACTATCGATTTACTGCTATCTCACAGCCTCTACCACAGCACACTTATAAAATGGTTTTAGTACTACTCTTGCATGTAAATAACTTAAATCCCAGGATTTTATTTTTCACTCTTAAACTAATGTACAGCTAAACACTGTATTGCTGAGTAATGCAACTGTAGTGCTGCATTAATAAATGGCTTAAGAACTCATAGTGACAAAAACAACACAAGAAATGGTGACAGAAGGAGCAGATATTTATCTTGTTTCCAAACATTTTATTTAAAAAAAAGAAGCAGAAATCCAACAGAGCCTTTGGTGCACATTATAACCTTTTATTTTCCTCTGCAAAGCAATGTCACAGACAGAGTTATATAAAAACCTTCACAAGCGCCCATTTAAACTTGTGGATAAACATCCTCTGGTAGTATTCTTCACTTTTTCTACTAAATTGTGCCTGCACTGCCTTGTCCAAACACAACTAAAACAGAAACTTAAGCAGAGCTGAACACCCACACCCTGTCCTAATGACTCATAACAGACTCTAAAATAACAGTTTAAACTAAATACAATTATAGTAAAAGCAATAAGTTTGCGTTGTATACCAGACTAGAATGAGTTTGGTGGGCTGGTGAGTTGTTTGACATGTCAGTAACCAAGGCCAAAGAAGTATCAAGAAGAGTCCATTGCTGTTGACTGGTTATAGTTTGACACTTCAATAAGATTTTGGTCAGGATCTCTAAAGTACAGTGAGGTGATGGTCCCCACAGCCCCCGTCCTCTCCACAGGACCCTCTTCAATCTTGACTTCACAAGCCTGCAAGAGGAGAAAAGGACACAGACTATTTTAACAAGCCCTGATTTTTTTTCCTAACTTCTTTTCCTCAAAATGGTTACATAATGTGACCTGTAAAATCAAAACCACTTAAGGAATTGTGTGAACTACCTTAAGATGAGCAGCTACTTCAGCTAGAGGGGTTTTGGTTATGAGGCACAAGTCTGCAGAGCCTGAGGTAGGATGCTTAGCTTTTGGTTCAAACTCCTGCCCCCGCTGGTGAAGGTTAAACTTCTGCTGCCCAAAGCTCAGAGCCTTGCGGTTTCCCTTGAAAATGCAGATAAGATGTGAGTGGGTGTATAGAAGACTCCAGGCTCAAGACTCACAATCAAAGCATGCCACCTAGTGGACATTTTTTAAAAACCATGGCAGTTCACTTTTTCTACTGCAATGCAATGATTTGTCATTATAATAAACAAGCGTATTTAATAGAAACATGCCCAACAGCATTAATAATAAAAGCAATGGGTTTTTACTGCGCATACCTTAAAAGTGACCACCTCCATGCCAAGAACTGAGCTGTAAAAACTGATGGTATCTGGCACACTTTTCACTGTAAGCACCAAATGATCCAGATGGCTCACTTCAACGGGACAGCTTCTTTTGTATTTGACAGTTCCTAGTGTTTGAAAGCTGGTAACCTACAAGAGAAAAGAGAACAAACTTTGATTTAGGAGTTGACTTCGCCATGAATAGAAGTGGCTGTAGTTGAGCTGAGTGCGAACAGCGACGCTCCGTGGTGAGTGTGTGCTTCAGCCCGTAGACGTGTGAGAGGTGAAAGGAAGCCGTATACACTGGTTTTAAAAAATCGATTTAGCTCTCGTAGCTTGTTAGCCCATATCCTTAGCTTGTCAATATAAACTCGAGCCACTTACACCATTAACCAACTTCACAACTCGGTTCCGTCGCTTTCCTAAAAACGGAAGTCTAAACTGTTTTTACGTCTAAACATCTGCAGCCTGCCAAAGTTTATGGGAAAAGAGTGGTGATAGGTGTGCACTGTTAGCCCTTTAGCCAGATAATAGCGCATTTTACCTTCAGACAGCTCTTCTGAAACTGCCATAAACGACCTCCAGCTGCCCGGAGCGCCATCCTGCCGTGATGTGACAGCGGTAGGCTACTTCCTCGTTTTTTCCACTCGTGTCCTGTGAAACATTTACCACAGCACAATGGCCGTACGTTTCTATGCTTGTCGAAACATGCAGTTTATACAGAGTGCATGGGCATAAACAAGGACCAGTTTTTTGTCTGTCGGCTGGGATTCTGAGGGGTAATAACAACACTAATCGTTTGACAGGTACACCTGTGCAGGTACGGCTGCCCTGCCGTAAAGTGTAATCATGCGTTTAATGTAAATAATAGTCTGAGTTTTGTTATTGTTATTGAGGTCATATTGATGTACTGCTTTCCTCTATTTAAATAAGGACAGTGCTCAGGGTAAACTATGAAGTACACTAAGCCCATCATTTAATGCACACATTACAATGCTCACACTATTCCACCTTTATAACATTTGCAGTATTGAATTTCAAACAAAGGGGTCAGTTTTTTGGTTTGTGATATAGAGCCTGCTGACAGGCAGGCTCATGATCCATCTACTTGTTCTGATCACAGAGTGCTTTAAGGATCTGCTCAGAGGCCCGTTAATAAATGACTGGCAAAGTACAAATAAAGTGCACTTTCTGGCCATTTCATTATGTACACCTGTTTAATTGCTTGTTAATGCAAATATCTAATCAGGCAATCACATGGCAGCTTTGCAGTGCAGTTAGGCGTATGGATATGGTCAAGATCACATGCTGAAGTTCAAGCCAAGCATCATAATCAGGAAGAAAGGTGTATAAGTGACTTGGAAAGTTGCATTGCTCTTTGTACCAGATGGGCTGATCTGAGTGTTTCTGATAATGGTCTGAAAAAGAGAAAATGTCCAGTGAGTCACAGTTTTCTGGGTGAAAAATACATAGTTAATGTCAGAGGTCAGAGGAGAATGGCTAGGCTGCTTTAAACTGATAAAGCCAATAGGAAGAGAATGAGGAAACTGAGGCTATAAGTCACACAACCTCACCAAAATTGGACAATAGATTTCAAAAATGTTGCCTGGTCTGATAAGTCTCGATTTCTCCTACGATAGTCAAATAGTAGGATGAGAATATGGCATAAATGCCATCAAAGCATGAATCAACAGTTTAACTGCCTCACATCAACAGTTCAGGCTGCTGCTGGTGCTGTAATGGTGTGGGGAATATTTTCTTAATACACTTAGAACCCCTCAGTGCCAACTGAACGTTGTTTCACTTGACCGTGTCCGTCCCTTTATGACCAAGATGTACCAATCTTCCGAGGACTGCTTCCAGCAGGGTAAGTGCTGTGTCACAAAGCTCAGATCATCATAAACTGTTCGCTTTACTCAGATGGCATCCGCAGTCACTAGATCATGATCTAACAGAGCATTTTTTTTTTGGATGTGGTGGAATGGGAGATTTGCATCATGGATGTGCAGCAGCTGAGTCTCGCTGTCATGTCAATGACGATGTCAAAATCTCTTGAGAGATGTTTCTAGCACCTTATTGAATCTGTGCCATGAAGATGTAAGGCAGTTCTGGAGTCAAATTGGGGTGGGGGTCTATCAAGGTGTAACTAGTGAAGTGGCCAGTGACTACAGCTGTGGACGTGTTCATTTGATCAGACAGCCCAGTAAGTGTAGAGAATGCATACTGGCAAAGCATTTCATAGCATAACAACTTGTTTAATTCAGCGGTTAGTTTTCATTTAACACCCAGTTAACATACTGCACTGGGTGGATCACAGAACAAGGCCAAAACTAAAGCATGGCCTATGAGGGAACATACATTGTTTACATGTTAATGGTATTCAACATCATCTTGCATTCAAACCTTTATGCTCCACACAGGGAAGTAATAGTTGTGGCTAAGACATCAAACAATAAAATAAGAAATGTGACAGGATGGCTTTAAGAGTGTTGCTTTTTTTTTTTCCTTTAGCCAGTGTCCCTGTTCATCAACAGTGCTATTAAAACCTACAGAACTTCTAAATAAAATAAATTCAACACATAATGGGTAATAAGTCTTCATTTCCTTACTTTTACAATTGCATGTATTGCACACAGATATGGAGCATTTGCTCGTGAGGCAGGAGGAGGGCACAGTGGTCAAGAAACTTGACTTTCCATTGAAGCAAAGACCAATGAACAATAATGGAAACTTTCCCACCCCAGACTTGGTATACATCAAACCTTTGGGGTAATAACTTAAGCTGCAACTTAAACATGAAGGTGGACTGACAGGTAAAGAGATCTGTTGTGGCTTGAGCTGAGGAGGCAAGTCTGGATTGCCATTTCATTCAATCTGTGATTATTTCACTCTGCCAAGACCACAACTTATTTCCTATTTAATTAATCCAATTGTTAGTAGAAAAAAAAAGAATTGAGAAGAACAATAACACACAAAACAACTGTGACATCATTTAGTATTAAAAGTAAATGTCCTTTTGCATCTGTGTCATGCCTGCTAATATTTTAGAGGTGGGGAACTCACAACTTGATACTGACAAAGCCTCCATTACCCATATTGAAAAAGCTTTCATTTTGTCATACGATTACGTCTGGCATTACAATAATCAAGAAAGTAACAATACAATATTAATCCAAAACAGACTTTTCCTTTGAAACGAAAACAAACAAACAAAAAAAAAACTAAAAAGTTCAACATTCTGGGGGGGGGGGGGTTTCTCTGCGAGTTTATGGTATATCCCTCAAAAAAAAAAAAAAAAAGTGTTTATTTATTTAGGGTGAACAAGAATGGAGAGCACAAGTCACACTGTAAATTGCAAAACACTTTGTCCTCCATCCTTTGGACATCACAATCTGTAAATAATTCTGCTGTATACATTGTTAGCACCTAAACATTTAAAATCAAATTCAGAGAGTAATTGCAAACCATCATGACCCAGATCTTCAAATGAGTTCATTTACAATCCGAAACCAATTCAGTGATACAATGTATGATTCAAAATTATTTTACAAGCTTATTTACAGCTAATACTTTGAACTGGTGTAACTAGCAACTGTACCTACACCCAGCTAATGTTATACAAGGGGCCATTCGGGAGTTGAGAGAACAGAACCGATTTGAAGTGCCTGAACTACCTGCAAGTGTGCAGCATTTATAATCAGAGGATTTATTTTTATGAGCTATCAGTCTACTTGTGCGCATGGCTTGATGCAACGCAACACTGCACAGCCACTACGGGTTGATAGACAGCATGCATCGCTTGTGCCCCACTTTGGACTGCAATAATAATAAATGTCTAACTAAAAACTAAATATTCTCCATCGTCACTGTAAGGAGCACCCCAAATAAAACCTGTTGTCTGCGATACGATCAAACTCACAAATAGTATGAAGGAAATACATTTCAACAGCGGAAACACGTTTTCTCACAGCCTCTTACAGACTTGGGAGATATTGGATTACTTCGGCTGAGACAAAAGGCCTTCAGTCTGTCAAAGCGTTACACCACACTCTCTCTGTTGGCTGACACTAGGACAGCCCTGCGGCAAATGGGGCATGTGGAGTTTTCGGAGAGCCAGCGGTCTATGCAGTGCACATGGTACTCGTGAGAGCAGGGAAGCTTACGTAGCTTGTTCCCTTCTGCATACTCTGTTATGCACACACTGCAAGTCTTCAAGGCATCACTCTCTCCAAAGTTGCGCATGGAGAGGTTGTCAATCTGTTCTTTGGTCAGCCCCTGGGGCTGGTCTTCATCATCATCATTTAGTAGGAAGAAGTGAGCAAGTCGCAGGAAGGGCAGGGAGCTGGGCTCCTCCAGGCCGATAGGTGGTCTTGGTCGAGCCCTGCCACCAGTGGGAGGCGGACCAGTGGCAAGGCCTTCATCCATATCAGTTTCAACCGTCCTTCCTCTGCCTCCAGCAGCAACCAGTTGCTCGTCAACATCAGCAGCAGGAGCATCGGCAGGTGTAGCATCTGGATTATGGAGGGCTTCTATTTCTGCAGGAGCATTGGCTCCACGGTTTGAATCTGAAGAGTCAGAGTCTGAGTCCATGAGGTAGCCAAGCTCACCAAACCCAGTCATGATCTGCCGTATCATAGACTGGAGAGCCAATGAAGTTGCCTCTCCCAAACCTGCATCGGAGATTCTTCGGATGGGGATGCGAATAGTGCTGACGTAGGTCCTCACACCAGCACGCTCAGAGCGCGAGAAAGTCCTACGAAATCCACCACGTTCACTCTCATACATAAATGTGTTGTTTGAGTTCTGGGAGCGCGAGCGAGTACGACTGGCAATGCTGTCTCTTTGCCGATATTCACCTGGACGCACACGGCGCACCTGAAGATCAAGCATAATAGTAGGGGGGCGACGCCCTGCTGCGCCCCCTTCGCCTCCAGAGGCTTCTAACTCCTGAGAGGCAACATTGTGGGCCTCTGGAATGGATTCTGCAATTGCCCTAGACTGCTGAGCATCTCCATCAGTGTGGCTTGGTCTTGAAAGAACATGCTGTCGAGTCCGTGAGCTACCCTCCACTTGAGGTACAGGGGGAGCACTGCTGGAAGAACTGGCACTTTGAGAGATGTAAGAATGCCGTGGATTAGGGAGTCCATCAAGTTGATCCAAGTTGAGAGGGGAGCGGCTCCTGGCTAAACGGGCCCGAGTCCTGCGTGGTTCTGGACTTCGGCTGCGGGGTCTCCTTTGCCCTCTGCGTGGAGAAGAACAGAGTGGTGGCTGCACTGGCAGGGGAGAAGGTGAGGTGGGAGATTCACTTACAAGCTCTTGTGAAACAACCTCTTCTAGTTCAGGCTCTGGTTCCACTATGACCGCCAACTCATCTACAACTGGTTCTTCTACCACTTCTGTCTCCATGGGAACTGGTGGTTCAGCATTTGCCACTATTTCTTGACCCTCTGGAGCTTGTTCTGGAGCTTGTTCTGGAGACTGTTCTGGAGACTGTTCTGGAGACTGTTCTGGCAATTCTTCTGGAGGTTGCTCTGACCTTTCTTCTGGCGATTGCTCTGACGATTCTTCTGGCGATTGCGATTCTTCTGGAGGTTGCTCTGATGATTCTTCTGGAGGTTGCTCTGTAGATTCCTGCTCTCCCTCAATAGCTGCCTGTTGCTCAGCCAGATTGCGGTTCACACTGATTTCTAGACTGAAGCGAAAATCGCCACTGTTCGGGTTGGTCTGGCTCACAGCCCGCCATGACTGATTCCCACGATGACCAGTTCTAGTTGTGTTGCCTGTGCGCCTCACAGTGTTCAGCCAGTCAAGCAGACTATCACCACTGGCAGGATCCTCTGAGCTTTCCGGTTGTTCTGAAAATGAGCAGAATTAGCAAGTGAGAAATCATATTCTGACATAAAAGCACAGTCAAAGAATGAGGGAAAAAAAAAAACAATATATAGAGAAATATCAAACGTACCAACTGGATCTTCTACACTTTCAGTACCAGCGGTGTTATTCTGTTGCTCAGGACCATCTTTGATTTGCTGAAGTCTATTGAATAATTCATCTTGTGTTACCTCGCCTGGAAGAAACATCACAAAATAACATTCTGTTATTAACAAAGAAAAAATTAATAAATAAATCATCGGCAGTCCATCTGCTCGTTAAGGGTTAAGTTCCCTTCCTCTTCTCAAGCAGCTGGTAGAAAGTGCCAACTTATCTCCCTACAATAAAAACAAATATTGGATTTAATGCAAGGAAAGAGGGGAAGCTGACAGAAGAACAAGCTACATAGAACTACATATCTTTCAGCTAGCAACCTAAAATAAATACATTAATATTTTATTATTATTAATAATAATAATAATCAGTACATATATTTTGATTGTTCATTTTTCTTTGATCACAGCAACAGGACAATACTCAAAACCTCTAGACTTACCAGGGCACGACACTCTCCAGTCATAGCCCTCTCTTTGTAGGGTGCTCCACTACACGCTCCAAACTTACTTTCCCACTCCCACTCTCCTGGGACAGAAATGGATTGGACGTCTTCAATAGTCCATAGGAGGTGAAATGTCAAGGATAGCGGCAAATCCAAAACTAGCTGTAGGTACTTAAGCTTAACATTTACTTTAACTTCTACTGACAAGCAGGAGCTATGTAAAGATGGGAGGACAGAGATTAGACCAACAGGTCATAAATTTTTATATCAATAAAACTGGCAGAAGACAGCTAAAATAAGATGAACCAAAAGAGGGGCTTTTGAGAAGGACCATCTTTTTCTCTCATGACAAAGTAGGAGAAAATTACTCAGTGACAGGACAACTGAAAATAGAAACTACACATGATATGTATGATGCGGAAAACCATATTGACAGCATATAGTTTAGTGCAGGAAATTCCATTACATCAGATTTTATTTTCAAAACATAATTTGGGGGATCAGACTATTTCACATAGTTTGGTAAAGGCAATAAAATATAGCTAGAAAGTTGTACACTTTAAACTGTGTGGTTGATGAATAGCGTTTTATAAGAAATGCCTGTTGACAGTTCGTGTTTTAGTTAACTAATGCTGGGCTTACACTGTGCGATTTTTGGCCCATTTTGAGCCGATTTTTGAGTCGTGTGACCGTTTTGGCGATCGGCCCGATTTTGGCCTTCGTCGTGCATCATGTAGTATACGTGGGGTAACGAGAAGCGATTAACACCTCACGACCAGCTCCTGATCATCAATCGCTTGATCGCGACCGAGGCTGTCACCGCAGCTTCTCACACTGCGCACGCGCAAACACAAATGTCAGCGAAAAAGACGGCGCAGCACAGCAGTGCAGCGTGTGATCTGGACACAAGCGATGGAGGCACAACTTGTAGAACTATGGCAAGCTCATCCGAGCCTTTTTGATGTGGCCTCACAAAATTATCACAACCACAACAACCGTGAAAATATTTGGATTTACACTGCTGCTCAATCAAAGCTGCCTGATCAGTGTTTTTCATTACCAATTTAGCAAAGTTGATGGTGGTGTGCATGTCTGTGTGAGTGAAAGAGAGAGGGAGAGCGAGCGGCAGAATTTCTGTTTTAACCTTCATTTTTATGGACGCACTGTTTGAGCACTCAGGCTGATCAGAGCATCGGGCCGTTTAGTGTGAGACCCTGCATCGTGACCTACGAACTTCTAACCCCTGCGAGTCAATCGTGCAGTTTGAGCAGAAGCTGAATAACGCGACTAAAAAAATAAAAAATTTAAATTTAAAATTTAAAAAAAAGAAAAAAAATCGCACAGTGTAAGCCCAGCATTAGAGGTAAAGCTACTGTTAACCCCCCCCCCCAAAAAAAAACAAAACAAAACACATTCCAACTACAATTACTACAAAAGATTGTTCAAAGATAAACTAACTCTACTTTCCACAAACGGCCAAGAGATTTATCCACCAAGAAATCTGGGTTTGAAAACAAAAAGAAAGCCTGTATGTGAAAAATACTGCACTGTCAGTGTGATTTTCAATGCTTACTGCTCAATCAAGGTGCCTTGTGTGTGAAATTATTTAACTTTCTTCATATCAATAGCATATTCCTACCTTCCTCCCAGTTAAACAGCTGAAAACTTTTAAAGAGAGGTGCGAGTTCAGCAGAGAACATAGAAAGGGAGCGCAGAAAAGAAAATGATTTACACAGGTAAAGATTACTTTAACAAGACTAAAGAATAGACAGGTTAAAGATTTACTACCTGGAGTGCCCAAAAGGTTGTTGTCTCTCATGAGACGGTAGTCTTCATCACTGAGATTGTTGACAAACTGGTAAAAGGCCTCCTCCCTGTCCAGGCGGTCCAGCTGCCTCCTGCGCTGTGACTCTGGCAGGTCACTGCCATTCTGTTCCACGCTGTCAGACCCCTCCATTGGTTCAGAAGGGAGGGCGGACTAGAGATGATCCAATATTCAGCAAGATCGAGTTGCTTCCGAAAAAAGTAAACAAAGGATTAGGTGTTGATCTAAAAGACATGAGCATGCCCTCCTGCAACTGGGATTCATTACCAACCACTCATGAAATGTATTATTTGATACATCAAGTATTTTCACAAAGTATAGCAGTTATTGTAGTGATGACAGTTAAGAAGAGAGGCAACTGGGCATCAAAATTAGGCATAACCAGGCACCACGCAGCATCAAATAAGAATAACGACACATTAGCAAATGTTAGCACCGGTAACGTCTTCAAAGCATAACATGGAGCCACACTTGTAAGTTGAGCCCATATCGAAACGCAAAATACGATTTCCTCGAAAATGTCACATGTATTTTAAAGTCGTATAATAACTCAAATAATATAATGATCTATGTGACTGTAAGTCGTACGATGAAGCCGTATGTTGCTCAAAGTCAAAGTCGAGATAAAAACAAAATGGCATCATCTAGCTTAGCTTACGCTGGCTAGCGACCAATTAGCATGCTACATAGGTGCTAACGCCGGCTACTTCCATCATTTTCAACCATAAAAGAGGACCCATCGTGTGTCTAATGACCTGTAAATCAAACAACAAGCAACTCGCTGTGTAGTGACTGCAACATCATCCAAACAAGATCATTCAATGACAAAGCAATCCGGGTTATGCTGCGCTAACACTAGTTAGCTTCCACGTCAACTAGCCGAGTTAGAAGCGTTACAAACGTCTTACCCAACATTAGCTTTTAACTTTGTGCTAGTGCTCGCTTTTACATCAGCCCCATGTGAATATATGAGGCAAAACAAAGCTGAAGCTGGAATCGTCTTTTGAACTTGATATTATTCTTGTTTACTGTTACTGGACATTGACTATAAACATCACGGTTTCATTAAAAATACACTGAACTACCATCAGTATCACCGCAAGCTAACGACGTCAACCAGTGACGTTAATAGCCATAACCTAACCAAAGCGATCCAGCTAAAATTAGCTAGCTAAAGAGAGTGAAGTTAATTAGAACGGATACACCATCTGTCACCAAACCACTAATAATTACCTGCTTGGCGATGTTAACGGCAGCGTTATCGTACAACCCAGCTGCCCTTTTAATATTCTCCCAGAAACGATACACTGTTTAGCTAAGTGCGACTGCCAGATTCCATTTTCTTTCTTGTAGGAAGCCTAAAATGATTTTCCGGAAACGGACGAAACATTTAGGTTTTACCCCGAGTGATTCCTTACAGGCACTTGCAAATGTCTCGCGTTTAGGCGTAGCGATGGAGGTCGGGTGAGACAGGCGCAGTGTTCCTGAGAGACTGAAATCAGGGCGCTAAATATTTTTGGGTAAAAAAAAAAGACGAACAAGGATGTTTGTTGACGAGGGGGCTCCGCTGGTGAGCTGTAGCGTCGCTGTGCGGTCGCTAATGCAAAATACTAGGTAAAGTTTTGAATTTTTAAATGGCCAGCATAATACAGCTGTTTTTTTTTTTTTTTTAGGAAAGTTAGAAATTAATACATTAAAACAATGAAAAAAAATTCTCAAATGAGATTTAGCTCTTTGGCGGACAAAAGAAATATCTTATTTGAGAATTTATGAAACATTAGTTTCATACAGTATAGTTCGTATTGTTTACATCTTTTACAATTATACGCCCTGTGAATGTTGTACATAAAAACAAGATAGAATGCATTTAATGTAATAATAATGTGGGGACTGAATGATGCAAGTTTATAGTTCAAAATTTCAACTGCTGTAACCAAAGACATAAATGCATAAAGTCTTTTGGGATAAATAAAGTATTTTTCATCTCATAATCTCATCAGCTGAAAGATTTACTCTACCTACCTTTTGCCAGGAAACTGTCATTTTATCAAACCAGTTAGTTATTATCTTGTAGGGTGACTTCATTATGCCATTATGTTGATGTAGCTTACCAGTTAAGACACCACAAAACTACAGTTTGATTCTTTGCTTTAAGTAATAGCCATGTCTTCATTTGTTGTGTCTTTGAAGCTGTGTTTTGTAATAAATGAAATAAAGCTTTTGTAGTACCACTTCAAATGGCTTCCAACTACAAACAAAAAATGGGTCTAAAAGACAGTCAAAGCATTTAAAGTCCTGAAACAACCCAAGTGAGGAAGAAACACCAGAGACTTATATCAGTCCCTGTATATATTTTTAAGGCCAGGAGGGAGCATTATTGCTACAGCATACCAGAAGAAACCCAGTGATGATTGTTTGGTAGTAGTGCTTACAGGTAATTTGTAAACCAGCGTGGGGAAAAATTGCTCACAAACTAACAAGACACAAATTTGTGAAAATTACCTGGAAATACCATCAAGAAAACCCACTGGGCAGCTATTGAAAGCCTCTGAAATGGCTTCAGCTTCATTGTTCTAACACAGAGAATGGATTACCCAGCAGAAGTACTGTGTCATTTTTAATGAACTCCGCACATCAGATTAGCCCGTAAAGCTTTCTACTAAAAGAACTCCCTTTGTTTTACAGCAAATCTGCCAAAATGTATAACAATGTGTTGCGTAATTATTTTGTTTTTTTTGGTTCCCATGATTGCACTCAATAAACCTGAACTATGAAAACATGTCAATCCCTTTAAAATGTTGCTTTATAGCTCTATAATTTTCTTTTTTTAAAGATAAAAACAGTTGTCCTAATGACAAAGCTGGCTTATGGCTGTCTATGCAGCATAAGCACATACTGACAAAACAACTAGCATCTCATTTAATAACCACAGGTGTACCTGATCCATTGCATTAGACATTCCATCTTATAATTTGCTCGCTCCCTTATCTGCTACGGGTGACTAAAGAACAAAAACAATGCTAATACCAGCTGACAATTTTGGAGGCATACATCACAGGATCTGTTTATAGTCTCAGACTGTATCTCCAGCTCCAATTAAGCATGCCAGAATGAGTTGCAGTGTGGACCACAGCAGCCCAGCTCAGAGTTATGGATGAGCAGTCACTCTAGCAATGCCTGACCCTGAGTGCTAATTAGATATGACATTAAAATAACATGAGCCAAAGTCAGACTTGTGCAGAAATTAAAACGACTTTCGTCTAAGAATCGTCCAATATAACAACCAGGGAAAGACTAATTGGAATTGTTAAGGTTGTTTTTACACTTACACGTTTTGTGGCACGAACAAACTGAATGGAATTGATCACATTTATCCACATTACTGTTATTTTAGTAGTATCACAGAGAAAGGTGGAATATTTACTTAGAAGAAATGCTACGTGGCCTTTACTCTTGACATCTTCATGTAGTGTCTGCAATATTAGTTTTATTTTCCACAATACTCCACATTACAACCTTTACTAATTGTGTTTTGAATGGAGTGAAGCTGTTTGCAGATATGTTGGTAGAGTGAATATTTGTAAATGTACTCCAGCGTGATAGTAGTTCCTGGTTAAAGCAATGGATGGGTACTATATTCAAATCAGCTTTAAATAAGCTACTAGAGTGAAGCTAAGCTAGTAGAAGCCAGGAGAGAAGCTATTAGAGATTTGTAAATTTACTCCAATGTGATGTAGTTCCTTTTGAAAGCAATGGGTGGGTGGTAAAAAAACAAAAAAAACAAAAGACAGCCCAACTCTCAAAAAAATACTGTTTTAAGTTATACATTTAAATTTTATTTAAATTAAAAGCTAGTAGAGTGAAGATAATCTAAAGATGCTGTTAGAAGTTAACAGCAGAATCGAGATTTGTACGACTACTACTTTATTACTCTAATGTGATGTAGTTCCTGGTTAAAGCGATGGGTGGGTGGTAAAAAAAAAAACAACACAACCCAACTGTCTTTAGAAAGCAGCATTCAAAATCTTAATTTCAATTAAAATAAGATTTAAATAACCTACTGGAGTGAAGAGTAGCTAGCGAAGCTAGTAAAACCTAGCAGATAAGCTAGAGAAGCTAACAGAGAATTGTAAATTTACTCCATATAACGTAGCTCATTTTTAAAAGCAATAAGTGGGTGGTAAAAAACACAACCCAACTCTCTTCAGAAAGCAGCATTCAAAATCTTATTTTAATTTGTATATTTACTCCATAAACATTATTACAAAACTCAGCAAGTTACCAATATTACATTATCACCATACAGGCTTGATCACAAATATTTAAAACCTTTGCAACAGTTACAACAAAACAAAAAAAACAAAATAATACTCAAATAATTTACATGAAAATCTATAAAACAGCAAATTGTTCACAAATTATATTTTTTTCCAAGTTTTCATTTTTTTTTCTTTGCTTATTTGTGTTTTGCACAGTAACACAACACTCTCACAACAAGATCATGGTCTTATTACAAAACTCCCAACAAAATGTAAATATTTCTAGTTTTCTGTTGATACTTTCATATTTTGGTTTTTAAAACCAGAAACTTGTCATTGTATATCCTTTCCACTGCCCATAGAGGCGCATAAAAGGTTACTCACACACACAAATACTTCACAGCACTTTCTAAGAAAAATATACACTTACAAAATATGTTACAAATTGGCACACAAAAAATATACAAGATTTTGTAGTGTCAAGAGTTCATTAAGATTCCTTCTGGTAACAACTCTAGACAGTATATATAAAGCTCGGTAATCTTTTAATGAAAAGAGCAAAAGTAATTCCAATCAGTGTCAAAGAATCATGAAGTGAATACATCAAACATAACATTATAATATACATTCATAAAGAGGGTTAGGAACCTAATCTATTTTGCATTTCTTTTTTTTTTCATTAACACTGGTGAAATGAAACATACCAAAAAATGAAAATAAAAAAATCGAAACTGAACGGTAAAGAAAAGAAAACAATTGTCAGCTTTCTTAGCACCATTAACATGAGGCAGCTCAACAGTGGCACATTTTAAAAACAAACCGAAAAAAAAGGAAGAAAGAAAATTATGAACTCAGAGAAGTACATTCAATTTGACAATAGGCAGAAATGAGAGAAGGCAGACTAAATGGGCTTGCAGCCCATGTGGAGCTTCCCATCAGCAGCTTGTCTTGGTCCTAACCCTGATACACTATAGAAAAGAAACAAAGGATCATGGCAGAGAGGAGAGAGAGAAAAAAAAGAGACACAGAAAGATTGATTACGATTCTTGCTGTATGCAAGCAATCAATTAATATAACCTGTGTGTCAGAACTGCCATATCCACTGTGACAAGGCCTGTTTTAAAATCAATCAATCAGTCAATCAGTTTGTCCGTACATCTCCATGCAGTCTCATGTAATTACTGCTAAAAATGATAACATTGTTTAAAAGACAGTGAAAATAATTTCACATATTTCTACACAATATACTAAGTGTTTGATTGGATCTGCATTTCTCCTGAAATTCGTTTAGTGTATAAAATCAAAGCGATTTTATTACTGATTAAGCGTGATTGTATGGTTCATTTTTAAGTGGCTTTCTAGATGTTTATTTCAGAGCTGTGAGGTAGTGAATGAGCCCAAAGTAATTTAAAAGCAATGGCCTGTGAATACGCTGGATCAGATAGACGCAATGTATATAATATATATTTCTTTTCAATTTGTGCCTGTATTTAGCCTTAAATTTCTGGTCACAATATTTTCTGCCAGAATTCTGACCCATGAATCAGGACAGTCAATGATGTAAAATGAAGTAGAATGAAAAGAAAGAAACATTATGGACATTATGGGAAATATGAGCTAAATAATCAGACTGAAATACGGCAGCGCCATGAAATAAATTACATGAGAATGTCAAGAAAAGTTACTGTTTAAATTACCATTTTTTTTCAGGTAAGATAGAAGTAAAAATTCCACATGGAGTGAATGCAAAGACATGCTTTCCTTCATTTACAAGATTACTGTTTCTATTTGTACTGAAAACTGCTTTCACGTTCACATTGACTGCAATAATGTCCATTCGCGACTGATGTGCGCATCAGAATCTCTACTGCCTTAAATTTCCAGTACAAACAGCTTTTCGGTGAGGCACAGCCCCAAATGACAAATCATCTTCTTGCTTACCCTCAGACATCTGCGCTACACTCTTCTTGGTCCAGAGAAAGCTCATTTGAACATCTCTCTCTCTTTTTTTTTTCATCTCCTTCCTCTACAGTAGCCTTCAGAGCAGATCTCCCCTTTGCCTCTCTTTTGTTGCTTCTCAGTGCCAGGCGATGTTGAGGTAAATTGAATTTGGCAAACAAAGTGGGGGGAAACGAGGAGAATTCAGAGTCTTTCTGATTTGGTTTAGTGAGTGGTTGTGTACCACTGCCAGCTGTTGGTGCCTTTCATCAGAGAAGAGAGAGAAAAGTCTCAAATAAAGAATTCCTGTAGTTGCAAGTCTCTGTAAGGAGTCTCCAACCCGAGCAGCCAATATCCCAATGGATAGAAAAGAGGAACAGCCAATATTCACACATATATAAGAGGTCATTTACACAGCATTGTTACTTTTGGCACAATGATTTTAAGATTATAATTATCTTTTTTTCTTTTTTTTTCTTTTTTCTTTTTTGCAAATATTGCATGTCCCTGTACAACAACATTGACAAAAATACTCTGAGGGTGGAGCTTTTATGAATTTGCAAGGCGTAAAAATGTTAATTTAGATAACCAGTTCCTCTAAACTCCAGAAGAAGAAAACAAAAACTTGACAAAAGGAAAGGGGGAGCCATTCCAACTTTGAGGGGGGGGGGAAAAGACAATGTCTGATATGTCATCAATACAAAATGGTCCCATCTCGTGTTTAAGATGTCTCGGGCTTAAATTGGGCTCATTTATTGAAGGTTTCCCTCTTGAAATGAGCCAGGCAGTGTATGACGGACAGCAACAACAGGACATCCATATTCTGCATACAAAAACAGATGAGGAGGAGGGGTGCGTAGATGTCACTCAATGCATTTATGTATATAGCTACATCTTTAGGGAAAAGGGAAATAAATATGTAATTCAGGGAAGCTAGTTCTGCTGAGAAAATACAAAAACAAAGTTCCTCAAAAAGGCGACAGAACTTTTTTCAAGGCTTATTTCTCTTTTTCAGACAAAAATCAAACAAAAAAGGAAAGAAAAAAAAAAACGACTATAAGAAGAACAAACAAAGCAGAAACAACAAAAGCAAGAAAAATGCAGCCATGGTCGTTTCAAATCTCAATCAAGCTTGACACAATCACTCAATAGGTAGTTTGCAAAGTACAAGAAGTTTCTCATGCAGATATTAATTTCCTCTTCAGGGGGTTAAAAGGAAGTGGGAGTAGTCAGGGGGGAAACGTAGAACTCATGCAGCTCTGGCATAGCGTCAGTGTAGGTATGTTTGGGAGGGAGGGCTGAGCAGGTAGTGGGGGAAAGTGAGAGGGGGAGGGGAGGGGGTACAACAGCAGCTGATAACAAAATATTACCTCAGTTTCTCAAAAGAGGTCATCAGTGCTATGTCCTTATTTGGGTCTCTCTCAGCTCGCTTCCCCTTCAGTGTCTCAATCCGAGGGAACTTTGCACTCGTCTTGTGGCGGTACAGCTTTTTGTGAGCAGGCCCGGGGTTAATAAAGTTGGGTTTATCAAACATGTTACAGCCTAGAGCAAGTTGAGGGAACAAAGGATGAGAGGGGTTGAATTTGGCCTGGTTTTTGCCTCCTTTCCCCCCTGCCTTTCTGCCTCTCCCAGCCCCTGTGAGCACAGCTCCTTTTTTCTTCAGGTCAGCCTCAGTACCTGCCAAGATTTTGAGGGTCTTTAGGTTGAGACTGTTGGCCTCAGAGGGCATGCAGGCCTCCGACATGGGGTTCCAGAGTGGCTCAATGGAGGCCATCATGAACCTTTGGACCTCAGCCATGCCAGAGACAATGTTGGACAGAATATTGGAGGGCTCCTCAAATTCTCTCTGGTCATCCCCCACCAGGCTGTTACTCTCCGACCATCCGGTGCCGGGCCAGTCCCCAGTGCTGCTACTGTCAGTCAGGCCTGTGCCACCTGCCTGGTTCTTTGCTGCTTTACCCTCTAACATGGCCTTTATCTTTTTGGTGGAACGAGAGTTCTGTTTGGGAGTCTTGACCTTCTCTGACTTGGGGGCTCTCGGAGCCCGGACCTTCTTCGGGCTCTGTCCTCCTGCTGTTTGTTTGCAGCTGCCTTTCCTTTTTGACTTAATGCTTTTTGCCCCATTCTGTTCATCAAATTCTGTAGCTGCCATCTCTTTTTTATCTAAACCTAAGACATCTTGATTGTTGAAGTTGTGTAGCGGAAACTGGTTGTCCTCCACCGGGTATGCGCTTGCCGTGCGCTCCTGTTGCTGTATGACGTCACAGTTCCACTTTACCTCCCTATTGCAGTCCATGCTTATATCATTCACATCCTGATATTCTCCAACATTCCCTGCCATCTTCATCTCACGCCCAACAACCTGAGGGGACAGATTTGGGGTCTCAGGGGGGGAAAGCTCTGAGAGTGATGAGTGCCTAAACTTGTCAGGGGTGAAGTTAGAGATATCCAGCAGATCTGAGGACTCCCTGAGTGGGGTAAGGGCATCCACACTCTGCTGAATCACCACTTTAGGACTGCAATGAGCTAAGAAGCTGTCTCGGCCCTCCTCCTCACCCTCTCGCTCACAAGACTTGAGGCTGAGTGAGCTGTAATTGCTGGAGGAGGCTGACAGAGAGCCCACTGAGTCATAGCTGATGAGCCTGCCATTGTCTGTGCACAGGGACCCTCGCTGGTATTGCACCTGGCCCTCCACGCAGGCAGACTGACACACTTGCAGATCTGCCCCGGGCTGCAGCCCAGACTCACTCAGGTAGCTCTTCTCATAAAGCAGCCTGTCAGCCTCAGGGCTCAGCTGGCTGTAGTTAGACACTGGCAGGCTGTCATTCAGGGGAACAGCAGCTGGGAAGTTGTTGGGTAAGATGGGAGTCTCGGGGGTCTCAGACCCAAAGCTCTGGCTGTGACTTGCACAGAGCTGTGGGTGCCACATCTGGGGGAAGCTGGGGCAGTTCTGAGGAGACTGCTGGAGCTCGGACTCAGAGGGAGGCGAGAGGACGCAGCTCTGAGCGAGCTGCAGTGAAGAAAACTGTTTCTCCTCCAGGGACAGTCCAAGAGAATACTGCTGCCTAGAGGACTGCTGGGGGAAATAAGAGATAGCTGCTCCACCTGAGGAGTCTGTGGCATCTAACAGGGTCTGCAGGTAGCCCCCCGGGATGACAGGGACACCCGTCTCCACCTCCTCTGAGGAGGAGGCAGCTTTGTCAGGAGAGCAGGTGGATGAAACAAAGGGGAATTTCTCCTCAGCGGCTTGAGCGGTGGCGGTATTGTCAGAGAAATGTGGTTTGACTGTAGTTGAGCTAATGCCTGCCTCTTCTAACCCAGCAGTGGGGTCCTCAATCTGTGCCGCAGTGACACAGGCATCCGTTTCATTCGTCACGCTCCTCCCCTCCTCTCCTTCTGCCTCTTTTATTTTCTTGCTCCTCAGCCTGGCTTCGCTTTTGAATTTCCTTATCCTGACTGTTTTATTTCCTCCCAATCTCCTCCCCTCCCTCTCCTCCCTCTCCTGGGAGCGGCTCTTGGCTGTGACTGTGTGTGTGATGGAGTTTGTGTCTAATGTGACTGGGAGGCCTGGGGCTGCTATTATTCCTCCCACCGTGGGGGTGGCCTCTTCTTTAGTGACACCTCCCTGGCCCCGATCAGAGAGAGGGGAGGACTGTGCTGTTGCTGATTGCTCCACAGTGTGAATCCTCTGAACCTTAAGCCGGTTTGCAATCTTGTATTTCCTTTTGGGATGACTAGAATTAAAAGGGCGATGGTGGCGTCCGTTTAGATGAAAACCGCGTTGTTGTTTATCTCTGGCAGCCAGCTTAAGCTGTTCCTGTCTCTCTCTTTGCTTCTCCTGCCAGAAATGCTTCAGAGGAGCCAGTGTCTCATATTTGCTTACTGTGTCGGCATTTAAGCTCACAGTCGCATCCACAGGGTCCAGCTTGCCCAGTTTCACTGACATGAGTCTCTCTCCTTTAAACCTGTTGATGATGATGTACTTGATGACCACAGGTGGCTCTTTGCGGCAGGATTTCCGGCGTTTTTTGGGGCACCAGTCTACATCCTCCTCTTCTTTCTGACCAGCAGGGGCTTTCTCCTTTTTCTCCGCATTTTTCTCACTCTCAAGCGAGTCGACATCATATAAGTAATCATCGCTGTATCGAACCTTTCTTTTGGAACGCAAGCCATAGTTGAGAGGGTTCGAGGGACTGAGGAATCTCTTTGAGTGGCTCTTTTTAAACTTTCCCTCCTGCAGGGTGTCTGAGGACGAGCCAGTGCAGGAGCTGTCATCACTGAACTCCCCTGACTCCTCTGTGGAATTGAAGTCCATTAGGTAGCTGACTTTGGGAGTGGACATAGGCGAGCCGTGGGAACCATCAAGTGGACTCCTAGCACTGCAGTCCCCGGCCTTTCCTTCCTGTGCTCCCTCCAGGATCAGTTCATCAGTTTTGGGCTGAAGATCCTCCGCGGTTCTCCTCAAGACTGCTGCTCCTTCCTCTTTCTTGGCACAGTTGGCCAGGACGCTGGGGAAGAAGTTGAACTGCGTCTCCTCCTGCAGAACATTTGTTTTTTCCCTCATGTTGTCCTGGAAAGACTCATAACGAATCTTGAGCGAACAGACATCACTGCTTAATGTCGAATCGTCGTCTTCATCGTCAAACAGATTGTCGACATCTTCCTCTGAGAAGAGGTTGACCGACAGTTCATTCTTAGAACAAAGGTCCAGCAGTTCCATCTTACTCTCACTGATAAAAGACTCAAAGTAGCCCCAGTCCTGGCTGGCGTTAGCCAGGAGAACTTCTTCTCCACTAACCTTGTCTAGTAACAGTCCTTCATACAAATTCTTAGCTGTTGCATCATCTTCGGGGTCATCGCAGTCCCCTGTTGTTTTGTTTGCATCCCCTCTCTTGCCCTCACCTGGGGCTTTTGGCAGAGGAAAGCTAAGTAGCTGGTCAGAGAGGAGCTGTTCTCCATAGTGACTCACTGCCTCCCCCGCGTGGCTCAGGCACTGAATGCTGATGTTGTTGATGTCAGAGAAGTCCTCTCGGCTCACATCCCCTATCCTTACACTTAGACCAGTCTCTGTGTCAGGGTTGGCGGTGGGGTCGTGGGGTGTGTTCTGGATGGCGTTAGGGTCAGTGGCATCACGTGTTTCAATGAAGCAGCCGAGGCAAGTTCGGTTAGGCTGAAGAAGACACTCCTCCGTCAGGCCAGACACAGTGCCAGGCTCCATCATTGTCGCTGATAGAGGGAGGGCAACGGGTAATGGAAGGGACGTTTTCTGGTTGTCTCCTGTCGGCGCCCAGGAGCTTACAGCTGGGCTAGAGAGTGATGAGGGAGCGGGCGTGTGGTGAAGATGGGGAACCGCAGTTGGAGGGTCATTGGAGGAAGGGGCTACTGTTAGGCCCAGAGAGGGCTCAGTCCCAAGGGGCAAGGGGAGGGCTGGCGATGTAGGAGTGGTCCTCTGATGCGCTGGGCAGGCCTGTTGTGAAGTCTCTGCGGCAGGTGGAGGCGAGGACGGAGGGAGAGCAGCATCGACGAGCCCGCACAGACTCAGATCGCTACTCTGCTCACATAGCCCTGCAGGGGAAAAAGAGAAAAAAGATTTCAGCTCTTTGAAATGTAAGTGTGAAGTTAAATTACATTGTTTTTGTTCTTTTAGTTACTCCGACGTTTTTCTAAGCTGCTCAGACGCAATTAGTGTCAATTAACCCCCTAGAGCTCAAAATGTCATTTCATGATGCCAGCCTTAAACATTAATAATTCAGTTTTGGTTCCAGATTCAATAAGAGGTATTAGCAATGTCAACTTGGACAATTCCTTACTCATTACTTGCTTGATGTTCAAATGTGAAAGCCAAGACTCGGCGAGTAGCAACACAGCCATAAAAAAATCCCACCAAACTCTGAGAGCACTTAAAACAAAAAGAAGATCAAAGATGAAATGGAGTCACCTTTATGTAATGTTAGCATGCTGGCAAAAGTGAAAGATATACAGAGCTGCAAGAATTTTAACTGGCTTATTTGACAGAACAAAACGAGCAATTGTATCACATGCTTGCAGGTGACAATGCAAAGAGCCTGTTGTCGTTCCTGCCCGAGCCGTATATACGAGATCAAATTAATGCAGTCACCTTGCTTTATGCCCCCCACCCTGCAGTGTTTCTGTGCAGACGCAGATCTAGTAGCTTTTAAGTAACAAGATACCATTAAATTACACAGACTAACCGAAACAATGACTCAAATGAAAGTAGATTTTGGTGATTTTCCACAGGTCACTTGTGACAATGTCTTAATCAGTTGAAGACATCCATCTGATGAGTAACAATCAAAACTCGCAGGAGTGGCTTGCAGCAGCAGGCAGATCGCTGTGTTTGCTCTGCATAATTAGATGACAGCAGCGGAGGCAGGTATGTACACATGGGACACGACAGGCCCATATGTTGGAGACTGTATAACCAATACCATCCACACCTGCCTCCCTCTACAATCCCAAGCTGCTGCCTTCCAGATATTCTTTAAAACGATGCCAGGGAGAGAAAAAAATAAATAAAATTGAAAACCCTAGCACAGCAATTAATGTGTTCACAGAGGTTAACTAGCAACAACCCCCATTTTAGAATGGATGCGCCTAATCATTATTGAGGTAGTGATAAATGCTTGAGGGGAAGACTGCTTAGCAAACCGTATTCAGCGTTGCTGTATTGGCGGTGAGTAAATCTTTGAATATGGATATGACTTGAGAGTGATTTAATGAGGTAATGAAATTTCTGAGAGCTGGTCTCTACGGGTCTGCGGCCTGCAGACACACCGGAGCGGCCACAGTGCTTACTAAAAGCATGCGACTACGGTACTGTCACTCTTAATGAAGAGAGCCTCTAGAGAAATATCCATCCTCTCCTTCCCTCTCATCGTCAGAGAACTGTTATAGCAGCAACTCGTCAGAGGCTGCAGAAGCATCACAGCGAGGCGTTCGCCATCAGGTCCTCTCAGTCTGTGAGCCAAAATGACCTCAGAGCTAAAGCATGGGACTGACACATGTTCTCTGCGGAGAGTCATGACAGATACCCTTTTTCTATATTTAAGATAGAATACTAGCAAATTTACACGGTCGCTTACTGTAAAGTGGAGGACTACAAAAGGAAACGCTTTCCATTCGTGAGCACACTTCATCTTGAATTACATGTAATACAAGACAAATATAAAGCAGAGATTAGTTATCGCTCGCCCTACAAAGGTGCGAAGCCACCGAAATGAGGAAGTTACAGGAAACGGGAAAGAGGTTATTAACTTCCTTCATCCCTCTGTGCTCACGTGTAACTTAAGCTGCCACCAAATATCGCCGAAAGATTGGTCAAAATTGCCGTGAAACATTAAACTCATATTGAGAAATGTGTTTCCTCGGGGTTTATAATGGATTAACAATCTATCCTGTCCAATGTGTGTGTGTGTGTTGTATGTGCTGAGCGGGGCAGAAAGTGTGTGTGTGTGTATGAGAGGGAGAGTGATAGAGTGTGAGTATTGGCTTGGGGGTATAGTGTTATCGAGAGGCCATCTGTCTCCAGCTGGACCATTAGCTCTTCAGCTGTTCAGAATGTGCCACAGATCAGTCAGTCAGACAGGTATACAAACACACACACACACACACACACACTGGGTCTTACAACGATGACTGTAGCTGACAAATCGAGTTTGACATTTGGGGTCAAAGGGGGGATCGGTAGCTTCCTATTCACTGATATGGTACAACATAATGTTACTACAATATCTGAGCTGGCAAATGTAAACAAGATACACATCCAAAATAGTCGCAGCTGCCAGAATCCAATATTTAGCTTACAGAAAGAGTAGCAAAAAAGAAAAAACAAGCTTTATACACTCTGAGATCCTCCAAGCACGGCTGTACTTTTCTAATGGTGTTATCAGGAGAGAAGCTCTTCGAATAGAAACTGAGGCTGGATGTGACATGGCTCATGCAATCTGGCGTGGACATTCACCACTGAGCATATGGAAGGACCCCGGCTGCTGGCAGGTGGTGGTGATCTTCTGATTCCCAACACTGCCAAGCCCAGCCATGCTAGACAGCCCGATCACTGCCAAACTAGACCAGACCAGACCAGACCAGTTAGCACTCGGAGCTCTCCGAGACACATCTCTTTTTCTAGCCATAACATTCGGGGCTTCGTCCACCTGAGGTAGGCCCAGGCTGCTTTATGCCAGGCAGCTCTGCACGGTAACAAGCCCATGCCGAGGGACACGGTCATGGACATGAGGGGAGAGACTAGTTGGCGCCTGTGTGCCTATCTATTAGTGTGTCAGATGCCACACGTGCGCATACACATGTATGCCTTTTTTCTCTTTAATTACATTCCAATTAGAGCTACTTTATAAAGCAAAGAAAACAGAAAAGCCTAAGAATAACAGAAACACCTGTCACTGACATTAAATCAAATTCATGCATCTTCTCCAAAGGAATGGCCAAAGGAACACATTTTTCAGCTATCACAATACGACACACAATGCAAATGAAAACAGCTGACATGGCCTTTTCCCCTTTTGCGATGGCTTTTAGAAAGCATTCCTTTTCCCATCCCCCTTTTCATCCCTTCTTCCACCCTTTTTTCCTTCCAACTTCCTGCTTCTTATCCCCATTACATGGAGGCTTTTACAATCGTAAAATGCAGAGCTAGCCATTCTGCAGCTCAGCCACCCGGGGCGTTCAGTCATCCAGCTGGTAGGCCAGCCACAGAAGCCGCTTGCTCCATCTTCACTATATGACATTTTGTGAATGGTAGTGGGGGTTGTGGTGGTGGTGATGGTGGTGGGGGTAATCAATCCGGCCAGTACAGGATGTTCGTAATAAGTGGTGAGTAACTGCGGCATGATTCATGGCCATCCTCCTCAAAGAACTGCCCTATTCCTGCTCAATGGAGGCTGCTTTTACTCTCTCCTGTATTTTTTTTAATGCTCTCATTCCACCTCTCCTCGTCTCTCTTGCTCTCTTTTCCTCTTGCTGCCTCTCAAGGAGCAGGCAAGTGCTGGGGATAATCTGTCTCAGTTCCAACTGAGGCTGACCAGAGCTGAAACACAGAGATAAACCTCATCGAAGGATCAGTGGTGCTTGGTAGATAGAAACTATGGGGAGAAGTAGACGGTGGGTGAATGACTGAATATGCACAGCAGCAGTAGGGCTTATTGTCCAGTAAAAAGGAAGAGATTGCACTGCTACCTGATTTCTTTTGCGTTCGTTTTAAAAACCATTTATTCAGCTAAAAGAAAAGTGACCCCATATTGTAATGGTTTACACATTCGCCTAGCACTGAAAGCTCTCCAGTTTGATCCAGGAAAGAGACGCAGATCCCTTTGGGTTCCATCAGAAAAGGCATCTGGTGTAAAACAAAAATAAAAATTCTGCCAAATCAAACATGTGGAGCTAGCAACTGTGGAGACCCCTTGTGAATAAGGCAGCAGCAAAAAGTAGCTCATATACCTTTTAGAAGAAAACATTTGTAAACCCTTTGGAGATACCAGGATTTCTAAATTGATATGTGGTTGCAAAAAGTAAAAAAAACAAAATCCAACTGGACTAATTCATAAATAATTGTGTGTGTTTTTCATAGTGGACAGGGAACAAGTGAATTTAGCAAATTGTATAACTTTCCGAAGGTGTTTTGCTGTCTCTCTTCTGGTGCCCTTGGTATGATCTTTGCACCGTTTTTTCAAGGGTAGCTGCATAGGCAGGGACCGCCTTCACTAACTTCTTAGGAACCAACAAGTCATTGCGTTATACAGGCAGGCCTGAAGTATGACAGAAACCACTCAGGTCAGACAGGAACTTCAAGGGTTACTCCTCGTAGGCTTTCAAGGGGTAAAGAGTTAAGTGAAACTATGTAGAGTAAATGAAGTTCAGACGACAATGCGCAGTGTAGAAATCTTAGCAGTTTCATTTGCAAGCATTTGCAACCTTTTTTCCTGCAAATATATAATTACTAATCAAGGTTTCGGTTTCTGAGATTTTGCAGAGAAAAAAAAATAGAAGCCCAAAACTGAAATATAACAAGAAAATGAAATAACAATACAGTTATTATTAAAACAATGATGCAGACCTTTTGTTTTCACGATGCCAATAAATGTGTGTGAGAGAATTAATGGCTCCACCCACTTTTATATTTGCAGCTTTTTATGAGAAAAGATAGATTTATATTTCTGAGTTGTGGAAGCATAAGCAGAGAGGATTAACAACAGCTTAAAAAGCTTCAATTAATAATTCTTTTCCACTTTTCATTAAAAAAAAACACACACAGGATGTGTTTCACGCTCCCCATATCTTGTAAAAGAGCTTAAAACTGAGGTTGAAAAGCTAATTCAAGAAAAGCTAATTCTGTGCTATGTGCTAATACTAATTGTCTTTTCAAAGTTTTAAATGTGTTGTGAGAGAAACTGTTGTTAATAAGCTTTCATTTATTTTAATGAGTGCTTAAATATTCTTGGGCAAATTAAAAAAAACTCTCTTCTGCAACCAAGTTTCTCTAAATGTTTAAAGCTGAGAAATAAAGAGCAAAATTAGCATTCATGTGAGTTACTTATAAAAAAAACACAACAAACATGGTGTTAACGAGCTATACCTGAATAGTTACCTGTGCTCTCCACTGCATTTGGATTCTCGGGTTCTGAAGTCTTCACAATCAATGTGAGACCGCTGTCTGTTAACACATCCATCAATACGGCTCAACGCTGCACCACCCACGCATCATTTTGACTGTCCCACCTGTTGAAAGACAAAGAGAAATAGAAAGAGACGTGAGTAAGAAGGCAATCGGTAAAAAAGGGCGACCGCCATGCGTCTGAGGCAGAAAAGCATCAACGGCAGTGCATTAGATTTCGTTACAACAAAAGACCGACGCTAAGCACAGACAAACAAAGTTGTGGCGGTTCAAGAAAAAGCTCCAAACGCGATAGAGGCATCAAACAGGCCCTTGGGGCATCGAACAATCACTCATTTCTTCTCCGTATCACAGATTCGTGTCTAAGATTAATTTAAACTTTGCCAACCACGAAAGTACACAAAGAATCGCAGCTTGGATCGCTATGGCAACTGTATGCCATACGATCCTATTTTAAGCTTCATTTAACATTTATAGCAGAGTTGTTAACCTATGCCAACCTTACATAGGCGGCTCTGAGCATATTTGTTTATTGTAATTAGCTGACTCTCTCCCTCCCGTGCGCCTCAGCAGCAAGAAATCTGAAGGAGCTCAAAGAGGAGAGATTAAAGAGATGTGACTGAGGCGGTGACAGCAAACTGTGAACACTGACAATACTTTTTATTGTAGCAAGTGATGGTGAAAAGTGGGGGTGGGGGATGATTGAGAGTACACGCGTGCGAGGGCCGGGTACGGCGTAATACAAAATAACATGTTAAAGGGTAGAGGAGAGAAGAGAGGTTGAAGTTTGTCGGCCTTTTAAAAATAGACACAGTAAGAGGGGCAACAAAACGAAAGCATATTAATCTGCTGTGATTGTGAAAGAATAATGGCGATAAGAGAGACTCTGGGCTGGTAAATGATGAACATTTGATGTTGTGGCCTCCTGCCTGCTTATATTGTTTTCTTTTTCCTCTCCTGCAGTCCTCCTCTAGAGGAGTGGTGCTGCAGGATGACAAATGAGCCCAGGGAGGGGATCTAATAACACGATCTCCTTGTGGTGTGAAAAGGGTGGCTGGGAGATTAAGACAGACGGCAGACAATAAGACAAAGGTAGTGTGTGGCTGACTACAACCAACTGCCACCTCTTTCATCCTATTTCTTCTAAATGTCATTAGCTGTTCACTGACCTGAGCGAGAGCGCTACCTGAAGGGAACCCCTGCTTCAGCTTACAGACCAGCTCAGTGGGTAATTACCTCATGAGCCATCACATCTACTCATGTGTGCAGCAGGTACAGGGACCCTGTAGGTAGACTCAGTTAGATCCTGTTCTTCTCTTCAAAGAGAAGCACTGTTATACCCAAAGCCTGGGCTTAAGTGTACATTTACAGAGCTATGAAATGGTTTTGAGGCCATCTCCTATCAATTCGCCTCACCGAGGAGCTGAAATTTGACATCCGGCAATAAACGTGTCGCCTGCAACAATGCGCGAGTTGGAACCGGATATCGCCACCAAACGGGATGACGCGGTTGAGCTGGGCTCAGCTTTATCGGCCATCACCAATGCAACGATCCCGAGGTGAATAGCGAAGCCACAACAGCAACCTATTAAATATAGGCTGTGGCCACCGAGCAATGTGTCTCCAGCATGGCTGTGACACAACACACAGCTGGGATGCTGGTCAAGCCACAGAGGTGCTGCTAGAGTTCAGCACTGAGAGCTGCTTGTGTGTGTGTGTGTGTCTGTGTTTATGCTCGGTTGCATGTGTGTTAGATAAAGCCCCAAGGCTGAGGATCCACAGCATCAACATCCACTGGCAGAGGCTGCACATACAATCACATGGAGAGAGGGAGAGAGGAGCAGAGAGAAAATGAAAGCCAGGCATTTAACAACACTCCCAACACCCCTTCTGCCAGCCAGCGCCAGTGCTTCAAATGTGTTTATTTTCCACATTATTCATGATTCTTCTGTATGTGCCCCCACCACCACCACATGCGCACTCCACCCTTTACCATCTCCACCACTCTGTCAAGACCTGACGAGAGGCCATTTCAATAATGAAGATGGACTAACTGCAATAGAGAGTGCACATAAATTGGAGCTACAGCCAACAAGCATGTCCAATTTGCCAAGCGGTTAAGCCTGATGTCTGGGTGCAGCTTTAAGAGAGCGCCACGGCTGCCGTCAACAGGTTTGTGCCGACCTGATTCATCCATCCACATCATTAATACTTCACAGAGGGCACCACCATTTAACTCTGCTGCGGGAAACCACTCTTTAAACACCACACATTAGGGCACATAATCACTGTGCACTCATTTCTGTAGCATTCAGCAGGTGTAGGAAAATAGCTAGCACTTCTGACCCCCCTCCATTGTTCTTGCATGTGGGCTGGGGTCCTTTGCGCGATGAGAAACTGAAATAGAGACAAAGAGCAGCGAGCGGAAAAAGCCAAACAGAATGATTAGAATTTGATTTATCCTTTTAAACCCTCCTCCACACGCGCCATGTGTTAATGTGTAAGCTGGATAACAAGATAAGAACATGTTTACTTGCTCTATATGGAACTTATCAGCGCCACAATCTAATTCCTGCAAGCCTCTTCCCGGGTCTCCGTTTCACCGCATTTCTCCTCGATCCAATTGCATTTCTCGTCAATGAAGCGGCAACGAGGGGGATAGATGGAGTGGGATTGTGTATAATTGCCAAAAACTACGAGGCAAGGTCCCACAGCAGTAGTATATGTAGGTACAAAGGGGCCATTGTGCCAACAGAGGGATAGAGTCAGGGGCTAAGGAATAGATCCCCAACAGAGGAGCTTTCACAGAGGGCATAGTACCACAGGGAACACTGATCCAAACAGACAGCGCTGAAATGGCGACTCCTGTTTTCAGCGCAGGTATACGGTTTCAGAGCAGGTTCACTGGTTGCAGACAGGCTGAGTAACCTGCCTCACACGCAACTCACGGTAATACTCCCGAGCTCGTGAGCTTGCAGCACTACGTGGTAGGACTACAGAGAAGCACAAATCCAATACACACACACAATTGTACACACATCATGAATTTTAAAAATATCACATACTGTATTCACAGGCCCACACAGTAAAAGCAGTTTGGACCCGTCTTTCAGGTTTTCTAAATTTGGGAAGAAAACCTTAGTGCTTAGAGCCACACCGTGAACGACACTGATAATTTAGGTAGCTTTTTAACACACGTGGACCTGCCCTGCTATTGTGAACAGGAAGACGAAGAAGTAGGTACTCCCTTTCAACCCTTCCTTCCATTTCTGGCTCACAAACGCGAGCTTTGTTCTGTCAAATGGTCAGCGGGCCTCCTCGCAGCTCATATGTCAGAGCTCTCCTCTTTCGAGGGCCAAGCGAACCTCAGAAAACCCTTTTTCATCGAACCATTTGCATCAACTCGTGTTGCCACGTCTTCTGATAAATGCTCCAAATGAACACATTGCAAAGACTGCTGCAGATGACCGCCTGCTGAATGCCAACATGTTAAACGAGTGAGCCATCGGTGTTTGCAATTATAGCTGGTCGATATGGCGGCACAGTATTAATCTTTCTTTTAATGCCGTGCTGTAACAAAGGCCATTATGCAAACCCTCATACAATTAGACCAGGAAATGCAAGACTGACATCGAATACGGTGAACACATTAGCAGTGTTGCTAATTTGCACCTGCAGTAACAGTGTTCAGCAGCATTTATGTTTTTGACAGCAACAACTGCTGCATCGCTAGCACCATATGCTTCCCGTGTTGTGCCGCTGTTTGTGTTTCAGCTGCCTCTTCAACACAAAGCTCACACCGGCTAACTCGTGTCATGAGCGTGCTCTGCAGGTTAGGCCGGTGCTGCTGTTGCTGCTGCTGCTGCTGCTGAGGAGAAATCTCAATGATTTTGTCTCTGACACATGGAGAGGGAGGGGGAAAAAAGATTCCTTATCTGCAAATCTTAATTCAATGGTGTTTCCTACACGCGCCTCTGCTACTGTGCACCTTCCTTGTCAGCTGTTTGCTGCTGTATTTGATCCAACATCCTCACCTAAAACCCCCCTGACACGGCCACGGTGATGGCAGAGATACGGCCTGCGTTTGAGATAATCACTGTCAATCACGGGCTGCTGGAGAGCCCAGGAAGCATCTGATAGGTAAAGATTCACTATGAATCAGGATTATAGAGTTGGATCTTTATCAGCGCAGCACAACCTGCAGAGACAGATCTGGACAATTGTAGCTACTGTTACCCCCTCAGGCCTCTGCATGCTCCAAAATAAAGGTGCAGGCCCAGGAGTGTATGGCAGGAGAACGCTCAAGCCATTAATGCTATCTTTCTATTAAAATGACTGCAAGCCTGCTGAAATATAGTATGAGTGACACTGATGATGGGATTTAATCCAAGCCTGCGTGGCCTTAGCGTGCACCGTCACCGTTTTAAATATCTTTGATTACGGTTAATGTTTACTTATTTAGTTATTAAGGTAATAAGGGCTCAGACTTCCAAACCTGTGCTTTTAATCTTTCTTTAGCTAACGCTGGATAAAATGCTTTCCGTGTCTTCAGGAATAGCTAAGTAAGATCTCTGGTCTCTTGTTGGAAAAGCCGCCGAAATATAATTCAATGCAGCATAATACCGCTTTAATTTCTGTTAAAGTCGCAGCTCGATAAATTGTTTAAGTAAGCGTTCATTCACTTCTAGCCGCTGTGGACACAATACAGAAGCATTAAGGCCTTATTGTTTTACTGTTGTTACTATTGCATTTCATTTCAAGTTGTTTGCTGCTCTGTTTTCACAAATGCCGTAATAATCACACGCAGTAACTACTCCATTAAATGACTTGAGCGAATTGTGCCTGTTATTGCAACATTAATCCCCCATGTAAGGTTTCAGGGTGTTTTTTTTTTTAAATATTAAACAGATAGAAACATAATTTCTTTTATATCATCGCGTGTTCTCGAGGATTTATTTAAAATAATTGCAGGTTATTTTAATACAAGCTCCTGACAATGGGATCATTTATATATGTGGAAATGATCGATATACAGGAAATTGCTGCAGATTAAAGGAGGTGTTCTACCCTGGACGCAGCAAAGTGATTTTTCCTATTTAAAATG